TGATGGGCTCGAGTATAGCAGGGATTGTGGGGCTGGTGCGGGATCGGGCAGTGTTTCGTTCTGCTGTGCATGGGGTCGCTATGAGTCGGAAACGACTTGACGGCACTTAACAACAACAACAACAAGAACCATAGTTTTATCATTGCATTGTAAACTTACATGTGTCATAACATTTTTCATTACCTTAAAGAATAATTAAAAATTTGTTATCTGCTATTTTTAGCCAAGCAGCCCTGTGGCGCAGTGGTTAAAATGCTCAATTACTAACTTGAAGGTCGGTGGTTTGAACACACCAGCTGCTGCATGCAAGAAAGATGTGGCAGTGTGCTTCTATAAAGATTTCAGCCCTGGAAACACTATTGGGCAGTTCTACTCTGTTTTATAGGGTCGCTGTGAGTTGGAATTGACTCAACAGTGATGAGTTTGGTTTGGTTTTATTGTTTGGTTTTATTGACACAACTGGTTAAATGCTCAACTACTTACCGAAAGGTAGATGGTTTGAACCCACACAGAGATTCATCAAAGGACAGGCTTTGAAAAAAACTATGGAAAAATTCTACTTTGCACACGAGTCAAGATCAACTTGACAGCAATTAACAACATTAATAGCTGAAAGAGTTATAATTTTAAAACTTATTTATCAAATATGAAAAGATGCATTCTAAAAATTTACTACCTCACATTCTACCTTAGTGACAGATTTTTATTTAGGTGCAGTGTGGAAGTCACTGAAAATTCACTACTTAACCATTATTTTAGCTCTGGGAATTTAATCAAAATGAGTGCTTGTGTGTGTGCATGTGTGTGAGAAAGACTTTTAATATTTAGTGTTTGTATTATGTAGGCCTCCATTTGAATTTAGGAAAAGTCATTGCAAAGGATTATGAACATCTCTGGAATACCGTGTCAAAATTGGTCAAAGAGTTTGAGGTTGGAAAGCCACTTCCTCTGCGAACAACAGAACTTCATTTTCTCAAAAAGAATCATTCACCTATTGAAGGTAATAAATCCCTAAAATAATTCTAAATAAATTACAGTTCTTTTGAAAACACTACCAACTCCATGATAAAAGTATAAATCGTTTTTGGCAGTATGCATTTTAATAATTAAATTACCTTTATTGCAATATCTTTGCATGTAGTATATTATAACTATAATTTTGAAGATTTATATTTTGCTTGTAATTAGTATTGTTGTCAATGTTTAATAAAAGCCAGATATATGTGACTTCCATTAACAGCAATAGAGGTAGACAAACTGGAAAATTTCTTTATGCAAAACTTAAAATGCTGAGTAAGAGACACCAAGTATAATTTTATATAATTAGAAGTGAGATCAAAACAATACAGAGGAAATCTTAGGGGCAAAAAAGAAAGAAATGTCTAGTAACAAAAGTAGAAGTCAACTGGTAAGCCATGGTTGTCCTGGGGAGCATTTGCTGATCTCAGTAATTCGAGTTTGTGTCATAACCGCCCTGGGCAGGGACAAAGGACAAGATCAGAAGTAAGTGCTGTTAGAACTGAGCTGCCTGCACAAAGTTGAGTTATCAAGAAGTACACTGAAAAGGCTAAGTCCCATAAAAACTACTTCTTAGAAATGGAAGACAACAAACCAAACTCACTGGGCAGATCAAAATAAATCTTTCTAGTAATTGATAACCACAGGCCTCACCCTCCCTAGAATCTAGGATTTGGGTTTTGTTTTGTTTTTTTATTTTTTTCATTGTGATATGGGTGCATATTTACAAAGCAGATTCATTTTATTCTCATCAGTTCATGCACATTTGGCTTCATGCACAGCCTCCATTACAATCCCAACAATAAAAAGCTCTCTTCCCATCTCCTCCCTGTGTCCTTCTTATCTAAGTATTCCTGACTGTCCAGCTTTTCCTCTATACACATGCTGCCATTCTGATGCTTCACATTGATCTATCTAAGGGGTGCATCTCCCTAGTGTAGGAAGATGCATCTTCTTGGAGTAGACGTACTGCTTGTAGGCCTTTCTGTTGTTTGGCTGAGAGCTAACCCATGGAAGTGAGTCCAGTTCCAGGCTGAATGATGACCAATAACCACGGGCCATAGTCTCAGTGGTCCCACCAGTCTCTATCCCACCAGTAATTCTGATCATTTGTGTTTTTGAATTTTGTTCTACATTTTTCCTCCTACTCTAACCAACATCTCCAATTTTTATCCCTTTCCAAGTGGTTGGCATTGGTAGCCAGGCACCGTCTATTTCTTCTGGTCTCAGGTTCATGAAGGCTGAGGTTCTTGTGGTGTATCCTTCCCTTGAGCTAATTGTTTCCAAGTGACTTTGATTTTCTTTATTCTTCTCTACTCTAGATGAGGAGAGAGCAATAGTGGTATCTTAGATGGCCAATCGAAAGCTTTAAGACTCTAGTCGCTACTCATCAAAACAGGATGTAGAACAAGATTTTTATGTACTGTTGTGCCACTTGAACTTGATTTCCCCCAACACCATGGTCCCGAGCCTGCAGGCCCAATAACTCACTCCCTCAAGATACTTGGTTGTCCCTGAGAAGCTACTCCAACCTTGTTCCCTCTGTAACGTATATGGATGTTTTTGTAGCACAAATACACATGTAAGAGTATCATCAGACAAATCTATTTATGGTTATGGGTATATTTCTGTTCACCTACCCATACTTGATCTTCTCACCTGTCTAAATGGTTGATTTACCCATATCTTCATGTTTTCTGACACTGGTGATGCAGTATTGTACATGTAATAGTATTTGCCTGTGTTATCTATATCTTTGGCGCATGATCCTGTGTCCTCCTTTTCCCTATTGTAAGTGTGTTGGTAACACAATTTTGTTATATTCCCTTTCCCTTGGCCCAAATAAACACATGACTCTTCTTACCTAGTCAGAAATTTTCTTCTCCTTCCCTTCCACCCCTGGTAACCAGCAAAGTAAATTTCCCTCCTTGTGTAAATTTTTCCTTGACTTTTTATAATAATGGACTCAGACAATATTTAGCCTTCTGTGATTGACTTATTTAACTCAGCATAGCATCCTCCAGATTCATCCACATTATGAGATGATTTGTGAATTTGTGATTATTCTTCAATGTTGCATAATATTCCATCATGTGAATGTACATAGTTTGGTTATCCGTTAATCTGTTGAGCATTTAGGTTGTTTCCATCTCTTTGCTGTAGTGACTTGTGCTGTGATGAACATGGGTGTGCATTTGTTTATTTGTGCCTTGATCTCACCTCTTTAGGATACATTCCTAGTAGTGGAATTACTGGCTTAAATGTTTTTAAGGAAAAGCAATCCCATTTTTCACAGTGGCTGTACCATTTTACAGTCCCACCAGCAGTGTATGAGAGTTCTAATCTCTCCACACCCTTGCCAGGATTTGTTATCTTCTACTTTGTTAAACTTTGCTATTATTGTTGGGCTGAGATGATATCTCATCATTTTGATTTGCATTTCTCTAATGGCTAATGATCATGAGCATTTCCTCATGTGTGTGTTGGCTGCCTGTAGATCTTCTTTAGTGAAGTGTCTGTTCATGTCCTTTGCCCATTTTTGAATAGGATTGTTTGTCTTTGTGGTGTTAAGGTGTTGAAGTTTTCTATAAATTTTAAAGACAACTCTCTTGTCAGATATGTCATAGCCAAATACTTTTTCCCAATCTATAGATTCTCTTTTTACCCTTTTGAGAAGTCTTTTGATGCACATAAAAATTTAATTTTTAAAAGGTCCCAGTCATCTACTTTCTCTTCCATGTCTTGGGCATTTTGGGTTACGCTTGATAGTCTATTTATGCCATAAGTTAGGGCCCCTAGGTTTGCACCTGTTTTATCTTGGATGAACTTTATGGTTTTGTGTTTTACATTTCAGTTTTTGATCCAACTTGAGCTTTTTGTGTGTTTGGGGTGAGGGAAGTATGGATCTTTTTTTCATTTTTCTGCAAGTTTATATACAATTTTGCCAGCACCATTTGTTATAAAGGCTATCTCTCCCCCATTTAATGGATTTTGACCCTTTGTCAAAGATCAGCTGTCCATAGATTGATGGGCCTATTTCTGGATTCTCCATGCTGTTCCATTGGCCTATTTGTCTGTCATTTTACCAATACCACACTGTCTTAACTATCGTGGCTGTATGGTAGGTGTGGTGGTTAAGTTTGTGTGTCAAGTTGGCTAGGCCTGGTTGAGTGGTTGGGCAGCTGGATGAAGCATTCCCCACGATAAGACTGGTAATTAACTCCATAGTGGAATCTACTGTGAGCAGTTGAGTAGTTGCCCTAGGGATATGGTCTGCTTCCTGTTTATAAGGAGAAGCCTTGGGGAATGGTCTCTAGCTTATGGCATGCTTGGATGCTGCATGTAGCCATGTCATTGTTCAGCAGCCTGCCATGTTCTACCAACCTTGGGACCTACGATGGACTTGAATTAATGGCCTGTCGTGTGGTTTGGTAGCATCGAGACTGTGCCATTTTATTTGTCAACCTTGGGATTGTCAGCCTCAGCAGCCAGTAGCTGCCTGAGTAAAGAAATGCCTCTAGCTTCAGTGGGCTGGGAGCAAGAGTCAGAGCTGAAGCCCAAGGTTGAAGGGCTTTCACACAGCCCCTAGAGCCTGGCACTTTGACCTTGGACTTCTAGCCTCCTGAACTGTAAGAGGATAAATTCCTGTTTGTTAAGGTCATCCTGTTTGTGGTATATTCTTGTTAGAGTGGCACTAGGTAACCAGGACAGTAGGTTTTGAGATCAGGGAGTGTGAGACCTCCTACTTTGTTTTTCTTCTTCAGCAGTGCTTTGCTTATCCAAGGTCTCTTTCCTTTTCCTATAAAGTTAACAATTGGCTTTTCCATGTCCTTAAAGAATGCTGATGCAATCTAGATTGGATTACATTGAATGTATAGATTGCTTTGGATTGTATTGACATATTCACAATATTCAGTCTTCCTACCCATGAGCATGACATGTTGTTCTTCCATTTATGTAGGTCTTTTGTTGTTTCTTATAATAGTATTTTGTAGTTTTGTTTGTATAGGTCTTTTATATCCCTGGTAAGATTTATTTCTAAGTATTTTATCTTTTTGGTAGCTATTTTATATAGTATTTTTTTCTTTATTTCCTTTTCAGAGATCTCTTTGTTGATGAAGAAGAATCCAACTGATTTTTTTATGTTGATCTTGCATGCTGCCACTTCGCTGAACCTTTCTATTAGTTCAAAAGTTTGCTTGCTGAGTGTGTCAGGTTTTCTACGTAAAGGATCATCTTATCTGCAAATAGAGATTGGTTTATATCTTCTTTGCCAACTTGGATGCTTTTTATTTCTGTTTCTTGCCTTATTGCCCTGGCTAGGAATTGAAATGCAGCCAGACATCCAGGTAAGGGGAAAGAGGGACTCAGTCCCCACCCTCACCAGTCAGGAAAGCAGGGGAAAGAGAACCTGTAGGTGAGGACAGGCAGAGCAGCAGCCAAGCATCCAGGTGTGTGTGGGGGGGTGGGACCCAGGCCTCACCCCCACCAGGCAGGAAACTGGGGAAAGAGAAGCCAGAGGTGATGACAGAGTAGAGCAGCACCAGGGATACAGGTAAGGGGAGGGCATAGAGGTTTTGAACAGCTAAGTGAGACAAATTACCTGTGAATTTGTCATACTATTATGGCTTGCATGTTGCTGTGAGGCTTGAGGCTGTGCCACCAGTGTTTCAAGTGCCAGCAGGATTCCACGTGGTGCACAGGTTTCAGTGCAGCTTACAGACTGAGACAGACTAGGAAGAAGAAAGAGGCCATCCACTTCTTGAAGAATTAGCCAGGGAAAACCTTATGAATAACAGAGATACACTGTCTGATACATTACTGTGCATCTTTGTAAATAGCCCAGAAACATAATCCAATACAATACAGGACGACAAGCCCCTTAAGTCAGAAGACTTCCAAAATATGACTAGGAAAGAACTGCATCATCGGAGTAGGACCAACCTTACTGATGTGGATAGAGTAAAGCTTTTGAGACCTCCA